TACAAGTCTCGATGAAATAACCTTTGTCAGCTTTTGATGATACTCTGCACAGATCCAAGACAACTGAAAATCAGGTTTGAATTTGAACTAGTTCTTTGTAGTTCAGAAGTGTTTTCTGTGAAAGGAATACGTACTGGATCAGGTACTGGTAGAGGTACTTTCTTTGAGGCCTCACACAAAAGTGTAAAGCATCCTAATTCGATGGAACACGAGCTACAATTTCTCAGATGCTGAGGAAGCAGCAAATCAGGCTGAAGGAACTGCCTACAACTCTAGAACACATTATCTTCAGCAACTATCAGTCTTGAAACTCATCCAGTGTAATGACATACTGTGAAAAAAGAAGAAAAGGTGAAATCTTCACCATATTTTAATTTTGTTCTCACAATATTAATCTCAATCCTCTACTGAAATCTGCATATCCAAAACCTCCAGCCATGTTAATCTTAGAATTATATTGTAGGTAAAGGATCCCAATAGTAACAGGGCCGGCTCTAGTTTTTTTGCCGCTCCAAGCAAGAAAAACAAACCTCCGAGAGCGCAACTGCCGAAGCAAAACAAAAACAAAAAACCCACCTCCCTGGAATTGTGCCGCCCCAAGCACATGCTTGGTTTGCTGGTGCCTAGAGCCGGTCCTGAATAGTAAGTGACCATGATTTGGGAAATGTGTTAGTAGTGATCTTGATATAACATTCTCTATGAGCTCATTCTCTCTCGAGAGAACCCTCTGAGGATGTGATGTAATGTCCACATTAAACTAATAGCAATGGAACTGAAATTCCAAGTTACTACTAAATTTGGATTTACAAATATTAAGATTGCATGAAATTTGATTGACAGCCTCAGAGAGTGAAGTCTTGGGCATAAATGAAGATCAGGTTAATACAGGCAGAAGCAGCACCGGCTTCTCCAAAGAAGGGGTAGGTCAGTCTCTTTGCCCATCCTGTCCTTGATCTCTCTGTCCTGGGTATTCAGCAAGGTGGCAGTTGATGTTGTGGTTTGTGTGACCTGGACTATAACTAAACATTTTTACCGCCTCAGAGCCATCATTCAAAAACTACTTTTGCTCACTACCAACCAAGGCTGTATTTAAACCAATAATCTCAAGATGCTGTGTGTCCCAGTGCCAGTCCCATGACACACCCAGTCCCTTCCACAAAATGTAAAAATAAAACCTACCTGTCAAGACTCAATGTGCTAAATGCACCAACTAAATAGGTTAAGTTGTCCCCCACGGACACTACACTGCTGACATCACAATCATGGAATCCCAGCTGGTGCATAAAGATAGGAATTCGGTAAGTAAACATTTTCTGCAAAGATGCTTTATTCTAGTTCCTTTTCATATTTTTTTAAAAATTACAAACCACACATTCCTGCACTTACCAAACCCCTCAATTAGCTAATTTCATGCCCCAACAGGTTGTGATGACAGCAGCAGAGCGCATGCTGAGACATTAGTTGAAATGCAAGCCAGCTCTTATTCTGCTTACTCTGAACATTCAGCACATGCTTCTGATCTTGGCAGGCTTCCAATACCACATTTAAAAAGTCTGGTAACACAGGAGTGCTGGAAAGGACTGCTTTTTATTACCTGGCCTCAGCCTTATAGACTCAGACTTTAAGGTCAGAAGGGACCATCATGATCAGCTAATCCGAACCTCACCCACTCCTGTAATAGACCCCTAACCTCTGACTGAGTTACTGAAGTCCTCAAATCATGGTTTAAAGACTTCAAGGTGCAGAAAATTCACCACTTACACTAGTTTAAACCGGCAAGTGACTTGTGCCCCATGCTGCAGAGGAAGGTGAAAAACCCACAGGGTCTCTGCCAATCTGACCTGAGGGAAAATTCCTTCCCAACCCCAAATATGGTGATCAGTTAGACTCTGAGCATATGGGCAAGACCCACCAGGCATAACTCAAGCAATTCAAGAGACCCAGTGTACACAGGACTCTAAACCACTGGAACCCAAGATCCTTTGTCTGATGTATATAAAATGGACAGAAGTACGGTGGCACCAAATGTCAGAAATTATAACACTGCCACCAAATCTGAGGAATTAGAAGGCTTGAAACCCTAACTTGATGAGTGCAAATAAATTCAGAAGTGGGCCCTTGTGCTTAACATATAAAAAAAAAATAATCAACGCTCTTATTCTCTCTACAATATCAATCTGCCGTGAACATGCAAGTATGCAGAACATTTTGAAATGAACTTGGCTGCCAGTCTCACTGCACATGGAGCCAAGTCTGCTGAACCATTCACCAGCACCACAGCAAGCAACAGGGCAGCCTTCAACAAACTTAATCCAAAGGACAAGTCCATCCAGAGGGGGAAATAAGCACTAGTGGCCTGCTTTTCACCAAAAGAGGAAAATTTGGAGGAGTTGGGCACAAACAGCACCTGAAATGCATGGGCTGACCTGAAAAATTTACCAATCTGGAGGAAATGGTGGGGGGGGGAGTGAGTTGGGAGAGGATGGAAACAGTTCAGCTGACACCAGTGCAGAGAGCTGTGAAAGAAGTTTCCAAAGGCAACCTGAGTGCCAGATCTGTTCTGGGGAAAGCCGCTGACTGACTGAAGCCATAAAAAGCCAGTCACAGGCAGGGAAGGCTTGACATGAAATAGGCCCATTTACCCCAGGAAACTAATTACATCCTGCACAAAGACAAAATTACAATGTAATATGCTCAGTGTTTCCAAGAATCTAGTGATCAAGAAATCTTACAAATTATTTTAAATAAATTAAGTTGCAGTTAAGCTGCAGAAAAGGAAACAAAACCTTGAAACCCACAGCTTCAAAGCAAAACAAGGTATTAACAGGACACTATTCAATGTTAAAATGGCAAAATATGACCTGCCCTGGAGTAAGGTTCTGCTTCTAAGTGTACCCCAAAAGCACTAACCCATTCTGTTCTCTCAAAAAACGGAAGCAGATGGCCTGATTTCCACTACCTTGCACCCTGCGTATTTATTTACCCTCACGCAAGGAGCGTAAATTGCTACCAAATCAGAACAGTACTGATTTACACCCAATTTTCATAGAAGTGAACCACCATGAGGGATGAGGCAATGGAGAAACAGGCTCCAAATCTTTTATATTTCAGAAGCTGGTCAATAACAGGACAAAAGCTTTGTCATAATCAGACCTGAAACTGTGCATGGCTCACTGTTCCTCCACTTCCCCTGTGGGCCCCATTCTTGTCAGCAAAACTAGGCAAAAAGTCTCATTATAAATACATTGGACATAAGGATGGAATCAGCGCTGAGTGGAGGGATGGCCTGTCACTGTGCAGTCTCAAAATTTGCTTTCCTGAATGGCTGAGTTACCCTGCTAGACTTCCATACATTCAGGTTGGCTATATGAGCACTTGTGATCACTTTCTTCCCCTTTAGGACAACTGGGGGTCACCTAGTATCTTGTAAGGAGTCTAGGAGGGAAAAAATAGCATAAATCTTATATAAATTAATGCAAACCAATGACAAAGATAAATAAAATGTTTAATACCTGTAATTTATTATATACATAATATGCAAAACTTTTATCTGCATTCTGCATGTGCAAAAGTATACACTTTCTTGACAGCACCCAGAAAACAGTTAAGCTATGTACGTTTTTACCTGATTTGTCACATTGTGTAAAAAGACACTGTGCACAAATGAAACCCCCAAAGAAAATCAGGCTAAACCAGAAAGCATTCAATTACACAGACAATTTAATATTGCATCACACGCACCGGAATAAATAAAAGTCAAGTATATTCATCACAATTTAATCACCAGTCTCTCTCCATATATTTTCTCTCTCTGTTTTGGTCTCCTGCTGTATTGGGAAATATGCTTCAGATACTAATCAGGTTTCAAAATGGAAAAAAAAAAAATTTTCCTGCACAATTTTGGGGTTTACACAAAAATAATTCCAGACTCCAGTGAAGAGATTTCATCTACTTTGAAAGATTTCTAGTTTAAAACACATCACAGAATTGCACACTAAGGCTTCCTGTGATGCACTACCCTGATCTCCCGAGGACAGTTCTGTGATGTGTAAGCACAGCTGAAATTGTAAATTCAAAAAGTCTAATACAAAGTGCCCTTAATTTCTTTTAGTAATACAGGTAAAGAAATAGCTACTATAATTGTGCAGTCGAAGCCTGACCTGGAAGGGTTTTATGAAAACTAATCATTTCAGACTATCAAGTTTAAAGATCTGTCATCCGTGATAGCAGAAACAGACTAATCTTTACTTTTTTATACTCTTACATTCATGAATAGATTTTTTAGACCCAATTTAGTAAAAAAAAGGCACATCTTCAAACATTGAATTTAAAATCTAAAAACCAAAATAAACGTTTAATTATGATGAACGTCACTAGCTTAACATGTAATCCTTATAAGCAGGAATAGGCAGTGGGTTTTTTTTGTTTGTTTTTTACTTCAAAGTCTTTTGAAGTCTCATCAGATATTAACTACATTAACAAAATAAAATTAATTATCTGGTAGAGAGTAAACAGATTTTTGGATATAAAATAAATTTTTAGTACTTTCCTAGCTGATTTACAAGCAGTAAGAATGCAGTAAATGTACAAAGGCAGGTTAATTAAAATCTAGTAACTTGTACAAAGTTTGAAAAATCATTAGTAACCCATACTAGCTATGAGAAAGTATTTCTTGACTGCAAAGAGTGAATTAAATTTCTATATGAAATATATAAAAAAAAATTTAAACAATGATTATTTTATGAGGGAACAAATACAGCACAAGGTGTACTGTGTTTGAGGAAGGCTGGCAATGGAGACAATATTCCAGTCATCTTGTACAAGACAAACGACAACACAGTGCTTTCAAGATAAAAGAGTTGAACTAATCTTATAATAGTGGTTAATTACAGCATCTCTGCGCCAATTACATAAGAAAAAAAAGGATAATCAGGGCTTTATTTCACCTATTTTTATCTGAAATGCAGATTTAGCTCTAAACTGAATGTTTTAGAAGTGTCAATACACACTTTTAAAAATTTCAGTGGATCAAACAGTGAATATGTTTTTTCATTTCCAAAGTTTTTTTCAACAATTCAGAAGATTGTTCGTGGCTAATATAATTATCTGGGCTGACAAAGATCTAGAGGTTCAATTCAGTTTAAAAAAATGAATAGCCACTTGGTCATGGTCCCAACATTCAGTCATTGTCTTGAGTGGATAATTCTAGAAACTACAGCAATCAATTCAGCTGGTCCCATTAAGCAGAGCAAACATACAATGGCATGTAAATAATCAACCAATCAGGTTACAGTATCTTGCATCATCTCAAATATATTGCATAACAAAAACTGATCCATCTCTATTGTAAGTACAATAGAGATGGATCAGTTTTTATGTTATGCAATATACAGTTTTTAAAAAAATACATAGGTGCACTGGTAATTACCTTAATTTGGGTATCTCTGTCAATTACTACTACAGATACCTGTAACGACTATCCAAAGGGTTCATTCATTTGAGCAGTGTGTTGCAAAGATGGACTGCTTCACCACTGCCCAAAACAGTTTATAATAGGGACAATGTCCCTTTTGTCCTTACAGTGAGTCAGGTCACCTGCTGCCAATATTGGCCCTTCCACTTTGATGCTAGAATTGGTGTTTCTGGAGGCAGCAATGACAAGAAATGCTCTCTGATAGGCTAAGTTCCCTCCGTCCTTGTGTATCTACTCATTTTGCATGCAATTTCTCTTCCCCCACCTCCTCCTTATTCCTTGGCCAGTCTCTTCCACTTACCCCCAATAACCTTGTAACACTTTGCCAATTGCTTCTAGCATTAGAGGTTAGCAACAGTTCAAGTATCTAATGGTAGAAGTACTACTAATGGAGAGCTAATGCTTGAAGCAGAGTAGAGTAGTGATACTGGTTCTTTGATGAGAACACACACTATGGTAGCTTGTGGGATAAAAAGTAATGCATCATTAGATTAGGGCTGTGAACCCAGAGTGCAATCTCTGCAGATTTAGATGAACCGTGTGCCTACTGTTTACACGCTTATTTACTGAGAGGAAACTTATCTTTGTAGTGCATAGCTTGAAATAAAGGTGCAATATGGGCATCAAAATAGAGGGCGGAACTCTCTTGATACACATTACATTTAAGTTTTTGGTTCGCTAAAATTAAATCAGAAGTATTCACTAGTTAAATTCAGCATGACAACTGCAAAGTTATTTGATATCACAGAGGAATTGCAAATGCATCTTGGCTTGATCATAAAAAAATATCTGAAAATTCTGTATTTCACACAACTTCATTCTAATGTACTCTTCCAGACTTTGGAACTGCTTGCATAAATAACTGCTTCATATTTAAAAAAAACCTGATTTTTAATACAAGAGAAAACAAAAAAGTGTACTGTACACTCAATGTGTAAAAACAGATGAAACTAAGATCAATTTTAAGATTTACAGGGCAGAAAAAAATTCCTAAGCATTTGCTTGAGCTAAAAAGCACTAGTTATATACAAACGTTGCAAATTCCTATTTTCCAGGAAAAATGTTTATTCGTGTTTTACTGAAATCGGTTGGCATTGACATTCCAGACATAAAAAACGCCAATGTAAACTTGGTCACACTGCTAAATGCAAGGTATAATGATTGACAAGCATTTTTTAGAAATCAAAGGTTCTTCTGTTTGTTTAATTACTATTTTTGTTAGGACACAAGGTTCTCAAATCAGAAAAACATATCATTTTATTGCTTTAAACATTACTGGCAATGGCTGAAATTTACAACCAAGCTGTTTTGAACAGAAGATGATATTTCAATACTTTGAGGGATCCTAATTCAGGAGATTTAAGACACAAAGCAGTACTTTTATCTCTCAAAAATAACTAAGGAACATAAATGGCATTCATCTTTTTTTTCCCCACATGTCAAATGAAGAATGCAAGTCTGATTTACTGGTGTATGGGCCCACATAAATCTTGCAAGCCAGTGCATAGTCAGTCAATATTTCTGCTGGCATTCTGAACTAATTTAGTCAATGGAAACATTCATTAATAGCTTTTATTCCAAAAATCTGCATTAGTTTCTTTTTGTAAAAAATTAACCCTGGCAAGTATTAAAAATAAATATTTTAGGGTCAAACTAAAGCCATGTTTTTCTATGCCCTCTCCTCCCTTTACATATTTTCTTGCTCACCAATAAGCAAATAAAAACTAAAGTTATACTATAAGAGGAGCTGAAATATTGAGGCAAAGGGGTGACCAGGATAGTAGAAAAACAGAACAAAACCACTGTAAATCAGTTAACGTGTCCTCAGCTTCTTTGCCTGCCTCTTACGTTTCAATTCCTCCTCTTCACGTCTCAGCTCTTCTAGGTCTTCTTGGACACCAAGTCTCAAACTGCCAAATAAGAGAAGATAGCAAATCCTTTACACACTGCTGCCCAGGAGACATTAATGTGTACAACTCCTGCTCTTCTTTTCATGTAGAAAAATTAACTAACCCAAATTTAGAGTTTAACTTAAAGTAATAAATACACCAAGTATTCAAATATTTGAAGTTTGGCATAAGATATTTTTCTTTTAAAATGAAAGCTGCATGGTACCCAGAATTTTAGGTTTGTTGGTTTACAAAGATCTCTCTCCACTTGAAGGATGCACAACAAGCCTAGGATATTTGGTTAAAAGCATTTTGGGGTAGAGAGAAAAAGATATTTTGCACAGGTGCTTTACAATTAATACAACTCTTTCCTTAGAATTAAAGGGGAGCATCTAAACCTTCAGAAACAGGTTTTTCAGTTGAACAGGGAGCCAGGTGATCAACACCGAAAAACCCTTGTTTCATGGTCCCAATCACACAATCTGGTGAAGAGCAGCTGCTGTGTAGCATTCAAGTAATTGATTAGACAGTTGGTCCCCGTAACTCCATATTGCAGGCTGACTAACTTTGTGAGAAGAGTAGCTGTACCTGGGGAAGCAATCAAGACTTACTGGCCAACCTTGGTGAGAAGTTGCAAGTATGCAATAAAAAGAACAGGAGTACTTGTGGCACCTTAGAGACTAACAAATTTATTTGAGCATAAGCTTTCGTGGGCTACAGCCCACTTCTTCGGATGCTTATAGAGTGAAACATATATTGAGGAGATATATATACACACATACAGAGAGCATGAACAGGTGGGAGTTGTCTTACCAACTCTGAGAGGCCAATTAAGTAAGAGAAAAAAACTTTTGAAGTGATAATCAAGATAGCTCAGTACAGACAGTTTGATAAGAAATGTGAGAATACTTACAAGGGGAGATAGATTCAATGTCCTGAGGATTGAATAAGGACTGGGAATGGCTGAGCCATTACAAACATTGAATCTATATATGCATTTACTAGTCAATTCCTTTCCCCAGCTCTCAAGAATTAGCAAAATTCTACAATATTTAAGTGATAAACCGCAAGGTTTGTTAACATTTTTTGACTGAAACTATAAGACACTTATGGAAGATATTTGGCCTTAAGTTTTATGTAAGCCCATTTTCACAAAGCTTATATTTAGGACCAAATTTCACCTGACAAATGTCCATTTTAACTAAGCTGCATGACAAAGGTTCTAGTAGTAAGCAGAAGAAAATTCTTACTAACAAAACTTAAATCTAATTCATACCTCCTGGCTTCCTCTTTTTGTTGCTCTTTCCAGCTGCTCTCCATGTAACGTAAGGCATAATCACTTTCATCTTTATATCTGAAAGCAAATACTTATATTTAATCCAATATAATGAAAAACAAAAATTAGCGCTAATCAACACTAATACATATGGTTGAATTAAGAATAGGCAAGATTTTTTAAAATAAAAGATTATCCTGATTTATACCCTATTACATTTCTCCAAAAAATTAAACTCAAGTTTTAACCCGCTGAATAATAAGCATACTTTAACTTACTTAACCGAGTATTTGTTAACCCACGTTCAACAGTGAATTACAGAAAGCGTGTCCTGTCCTATGCAGCACACCTGACACTTGATATGGCTCATTCTGTTTCGTTTCTGTTGCAGTGCTAACTATATGGCTGGGATGATTTAGTTGGGAATTGGTCCTGCTTTGAGCAGGGGGTTGGACTAGATGACCTCCTGAGATCCCTTCCAACCCTGATATTCTATGATTCTATATCAGACCTGCTGTTGAAGGTCCAGGTGTCCATAACAGCAAAATATGGAAAAGGCTGAAATCCTTCCTAGTATTCTTCATTAGAAAATAACAAATGTATCCATATGATTTAGTCTTTGAGCCACTAGCCCAACATTGTAAAAGAAAAGCTCTTGACAGTATGCCAGGTTTTTTTAGTCTCTTATTTGAATAGTTTTGCTCTTTTCCTCACCTGGGACTTTGGACTATTTAGTTACCCACCTTCCTTCCCATCCCCCCCCCCAAAAAAAAGACAAATGAAAGTCAAGTAGAAACAAAGTAGACAACTGCTTCCTCCTTCACACAATTCAACAGTTTGAGGGTGTCACCTCTTGTGGTTGAACTGTCATGATATTTTAATGACAGCTATACTGATTGGCAAGACAGCTGTGAAAGAACAATTGCAAGCAAAAGAGGGTAATACTTCTGCTTCACAAATCTTCAGGTCAAAAATGTTCACTTGACACTATTCACACTAATTAATTCATATGGTGGGTTATGCTTACATGGCAGCTCTGTTAGGGTTGCCACACTGTTAAAGAAAATATTGTTTTATCAAGAAAAACTGAGGTTTTTGAAATATCATTAAGTTTAAAAATATACCTTAAGAAAGGAGGCAGAGTATGAAATGAGGCAAATAAAAGGTTTCATTTCTGGGTCAGTGTGTGCATATGTTAATTGCTCTATGTAACAAATATATCAGAAGTTTGACCCTCTAACAGAACAGTTAACACAAATTGAAGAGCTAGCTACACAGCTTTACACTTAGGCAACAAGATACTATAATGCTGAATATAGTATAAATATTTAGAAGAGACTGTGAAATATTACAGGCTTCCATAGAAAGCATTCCAAAGGGCAGGAGGGATAGCTCAGTGGTTTGAGCATTGGCCTGCTAAACCCAGGGTTGTGAATTCAATCCTTGAAGGGGACATTTAGGGAACTGCGGTAAAAAACTGTCTGGGGATTGGTCCTGCTTTGAGCAGGGGGTTGGACTAGATGACCTCCTGAGGTCCCTTCCAACCCTAATATTCTATTCTATGATAAAGCATTAAATACCACAGGGCTGGAAATACATATTGTCAGTTATCACATACGGTGACTCAAAGAATTGATAATTTTGTAATTTATATTTCATTACCACCAAATTTTAGATCATTCTAGTTTTTTAATCAAAATGTCATGCAGTACCAAGTCAAATACCTTACAGAAGTCTAAATATATTATGCAACACTATTACTTTTATCAACCAAACTTGTAATCTCTAGGAAAAAAAAAAAAGATATCAAGTCAGTTTGATAGGATCTATCTTCCATAAAGCCATGTTGATTTGCATTAATTACATTACACTCCTTTAAGTGTTTGTTAATCGAGACCCATATCACCCACTCCACTATCTTGCCTGGGACTCACATCAGGCTGCCAGTCCTATAATTACCCGGGACATCCCATTTACCCTTTTCAAAACTTGACACATTATCAACTTTCTCCTCATCTTCTGGAACTTCCCCAGTGCTCCAAGACTTATTGAAAATCGACATTAACAGTCCAGTGAGCTCCTTAGCAAGCTTTTTTAAAAATCTTGGATGGTAGTTATCTAGACCTGATGATTTAAAAATGTCCAACTTTAGTAGCTTCTTTAGTAGCTTAACACCCTCCAGAAATACTTGTGGAATGGAAAGCGCGTAATCACCATGTGATTAGACTATATCATCTGTTTCCCCCCCAAATACAGAACAAGAATATTTATTGAACCCTTCTGTCTTTTCTGATTATTGATAATTCTACCATTTCCATCTAGTAACAGACCAATAACATTGTCAGGATTCTTTTTGTTTCCAACATATTTTAAAAAGTCCTTCTTATTGTCCTTAATTCTGCTGGCTATAGATTTTTCCTTGTGTCCCTTTGCTTTCATTATCAATTTTCTACAATTCCTAACTTTTAATTTATATTCATCACTGTCAACATCTCCTTTCTTCCATTTGTTATATATATATTTTTTTATAGTTGCCTTCACTTCCCCTCTAAATCAGATTGGCTTTTTTAAACCACCATGACCTTCCACCTCAGTTGGTGGATTGTGGATTTCGGAGCATTTAGTAAGATGTTTTTAAATGATCCTCAATTATCATTCACATTTTTTCTGATTAAATTCTTCCTTCCAGCTGATTTGGCTCATAACTGTTTTCAGCTTTGTAAAGTTGGCTCTGTTAAAGCATCAAGTATATATATACTACTGGTTTGGACTTTCTTCTGTTTGCACATTTTAAATGTGATCAAGTCATGATCACTTGTAACTAAGCTACCATTAATTTTTAGTTCTGTGATCAGTTCTAGCCTGTTAGAAGAAGCTCTAATAAAGAATTCCCCTATGTTGGGTGCAACACTTTAAGTGTTTAACAATTTACAGTTTCAGAAGAAAAGAGCTGGTCAAACAAAATTAATGTAGGACATGAAAATATTGTTACATCTTAATTTCTCTTACTTATTCCGATCATAGCCAAATATTTCTCGAATATGTTTTGATATTTCTTCCTGGGGTTGCCCTTCATCATCAATGAAATCGTCCATTTCAGAGTCATATTCCTCATCATCTTCTATTTGCCTTTTATAACTTATAGGTGGAAGAGAAGGCCTTGGAAGACCTAAAGAGAAAGAGTAAAAATATTTACAACTTCTGTAACCCATCTGTCACAAAATAATCTTCACTACTGAAATTATTATTTTTATTATTTTTCTATTTATGCTTCTCCCCATTACTTCTCTCCCCTTTTTTTCTCCTTGATAAACACATAATTTCACTGGACTCTGTGCAGGTATATCTATGATTTGGAGTACAATTTGCAGCTCTGGTCTGCAAGACTGAGTTTAAAAAAAAAACAAAAACAAAAAAAACTGATTTGGACATTCCAAGAGTCTCAGCAAGAGGAAATATTTCCTCTAAGCTACACGTACAAGCCAAGTTTCCCATCATTACAGTCAACTGCATCCCAGAGGAACTGCCAGAATGAAAGGTAAATTTATGCCTACATACTTGCTCAATCATGGAATTTCAAATACACTGGTTTGTAAAAGTGCTATCCTATTTACAACTACAAAGATTTTTTTCTTAAACTTCACTTCCCCATGCCAACAAGGTAGAGTAAATCCAGACAACACTTACTAAGCATACTTCACAGGTTTGTTGTGGGGCCTAATGTTTATGAAGTGCTTTGAGATCCTTGAACAGAAGGCACTATTAAAATTTAATTAATCACAATTTTAAATGACAACTGGCCTCAGGAATCCTTCATTTCTCTCCTCTTTGGCTACTCACCCACCTACCCTTAAAAAGCAGCTCGTGTTTATAAAAGTTACCTGAAAAGACCTAATTACATTTTTTTTGGTTAGTTGGACTCCTCCCTCCTTCCTTTCTATTTATTAATTTTGTTCTCTCTCTTTCCCTGGAAAAGATCTCACCCACCCAAGGATCTTATTTTCTTGGGTGTAAGTGTTCGGTGAAAAGGAAAGAAATATTGCAATGAGTGGCAAGGGGAGAGAAAAAGTCATACTGCTATTTAGTGGCATTCTTCAGAATGCAACTCTGGCTATCAGATACACTTAGAAAAATCTATCTACAACTCGCTGGCAATTCTGATCAACTTCAACCTCAGACATGTGGAACAAGTAATGCATGAAACATATTTGTAACACAAAACATTATTTGCTGAAAACAGCATACCTTGTGGATGAAACACTGGTCTATGCCCTGGAGGAGGTCTCGTTCCATTCATTGGTACATTACTTGGTCTGGAGACTAAATTTTTAGATGAGATTGTTTCTGATACAACAGTGCACTTAGGTTTTGGAGGTGCAGCTGAGCCGCTGCCTGGTCGCCCAGGTTCCATGCTTGAATTTACTGACTTTCCAGGTCCTGTCCTCGCACTGCTCCCTGGCCGCCCAGGCCCACCCATCCCCGCACTGCTCCCTGGCCGCCCGGGCCCACCCATCCCCACACTGCTTCCCGGCCTGCCCATGCCCGCACTGCTCCCCGGCCGCCCGGGCCCGCCCGTCCCCGCACTGCTGGACAGCCGCCCGGGCCCGCCCATCCCCGAACTGCTCCCCGGCCTGCCCATTCCCGCACTGCTCCCTGGCCGCCCCGGCCCGCCCGTTCCTGCACTGCTGGGCAGCCTCCCGGGCCCGCCTGTCCCCGAACAGCTGGGCAGCCGCCCGAGCCCACCCATTCCCGCACTGCTCCCCGGCCTACCAGGCCCGCCTGTTCCTGCACTGCTGGGCAGCCGCCCGGGCCCGCCCATTCCCGCACTGCTCCCCAGCCTACCTGTCCCCGCACTGCTCCCCGGCCGCCCGGGCCCACCCGTCTCCGCACTGCTGGGCGGTCTGCCCGACCCTGCACTGCTGCCCGGCCGCCCGGGCCCGCCCGACCCCGCACTGCTGCCCGGCCGCCCGGGCCCGCCCGACCCCGCACTGCTGCCCGGCCGCCCGGGCCCGCCTGACCCCGCACTGCTGGGCAGTCTGCCCGACCCCGCACTGCCGCCCGGCCGCCCGGGCCCGCCCGACCCCGCACTGGTCCCCGGCCGCCCAGAGCTGGAATTTTTAACTATTTCATGCTGAGGGGGTGTTGCACTACCCAGTTTTGTATGGACAGAAGTAGATTTTTTCAGACTAAGTTCTTTAACAGATTGTAGTTTCTGAGCCCCATTAGCAGGTGCTTTTGAGTTTGGTGTATGAGCGCTTGACCCAAATTTTCCTACTCCATTGACTGAAGATTTACTATGGATGCCACTCGATGAGCTTTTTAAAGATCCATTTTGTGTAACTTTTGCTTTTTCCACTTGACTGGATTTGGAGGAAGATGATGACCTTGCATGTTTGTCGCTAAACACAGGCCCACTGGATTTCTTATCAGCACCACACTGAGAGGGGAAACTACCTTTTGAAGAGAAATGTTTATCCACTGAGTTTTTGCTAAGTTTTGCATTTATAAAGTCTTTATGAGAAAACACTTTATTTGAAGAACTTGATGCAGTTACATTCCTAATCTCTTTTTCAGGTTTTTTTTTCTCTTTCTGGATTTCCCCTTTTTTGTTTTTCCGGTCCAAAAATTCTCTCTCTCTCAATTCTTCTGCTGTTCTTGGCCTTTCTTCTGTCTTTTTCACTACTTTTATTTCTACTGGTTCATACTGTTTTTTTTCAGCCAGCCTCAGAAGATCTACAAAGTTCATAGGGGTAGGGGCACTTTTGGGAGGCGCCTTTGGTTTCACTGCAGCTTTGGATGGTTTCTCTTCATATTCCTCCGGTTCATGCTCAGATTCAGTCTGACTGTATTCAAATTGCTCTGCCTCATCTTCTGTCATATATTCTGCATCTGTGCATCGATCGACATTTTCACAAGTCTGCCTCTTTTTAGGCTTCTCTTCAATAGGAATGCCATTATAGCCATAAAAGTTGTCCTTTGTCCGTGAAGCCATAGCTCTTGCTTTTCGGTCATGTTTCAGTTCAATACGCTTAGCTAGAAGTTCCTCCTTCTTCCTTTTTGCCTCTAGTTCTGTAAAAGAATATCAGGAAAAGATTTTTCAGTCACGTCTGATCTAAATTTCTGGAGATGAAGAATTCCATAGGGATTAAGTAAATATTATGAAGAACATGGCTACAGTTCAGTCTGAACAACAACAACTATAGGGAACATACACACAACTTTAAAACACCAATGGTTTGAATAAAGTCTGTAGCCAAAAGATTTAAAATTAATCCAGATGAGGTTAGCATATCTAATTTTTAAAGGCACAATGTTGTGATATAAAGACAGGAATCATGGCTTTTTGTCACTTTCAGACACTGTTAAATACATTTTTTTCAATATTAAAAGCTGTACAAAAGTTCAGAACAATTCCTTGTGCCCGCTCCTGGTTCATGCTATTAGTCCTTTCTGGCTGCTTTGATAGCGAGTGCAGAAGTGCTGCTGAGCAAACACTTGGATTCACAAAGGAGAATGCGCGCAGCTCTGAGGATCATTGCTCTACAGTGGGTTCTGACTCCGCAGCAATTATGTAAGGACATTCCGAAGAGTGGGGATCTATAACAATTATATTCAAAGGCACGTAAGGAGTAGAGTAAAAATGTCCCAAAGAGAGTCACTGAAGAAGTTCTTCTCCAGTAGGGAATACTCAGAACAACTTTAATAGGTACCTTTTCCCCTACTTTCTTCTTCTTTCCGTCTCAGAAAAGCTTGCACTGCTGCAGAATGGACACCCTTGACTTTTGGATCTTTTTTGGGAGGGCCTACTGCCAAACTGTATCTTTTCTGCAAAGAGAAAGCAAATCGATCAGAAGAAAACAAAGGTTTTAATATATATAGCTGTTTTTACTAAATGGGAAAATCACAATCAATGAGAAGTTTAGGCTGCCTACACTACAGACAGCTGTACCACTGCACCTGCGCCGCTGTAAAGTCTCTTATGCAGCCTCTCTTCTGCTGGCATAATTAAACCACCTCCAATGAACAGCGGTAGCTATGTCGGCAGGAGTCGCTCGCCTGCCAACATCGCGCTGGTCACGCTGGTGCTTTTGTCGGTGAAATGTATGTCAGTCACGGGTGTGCTTTTTCAGACCCCTGACCGACAAAAGTTTTGCTGACAAAAGTGCTAGTGTAGACAAAGTCTTAGTAGTAGGGATTTATCTGGCTTTAAATATGTTAACAATGAAAGACAATATTCATTAAGCAACAGACTTCAACAAGAAATGAGGTGGCCCAGCATTGCACAGGAACAGGCCCTATGTACAAAACCGCGGCAAAGGAGCCATTCTGGGTATAAAATGGACAAGGAACCAGAAAGGAGGAAATGGACCAAAAGAGAGGACAGAAGAAAATCAGAAGGGATGAAGAGGAAAAAAAAGGGAGAAAAGGAGGGGAGATTGACAACATGTGCAATAGCTACACCAGTGGTCTAGTAGAAACAGCCATTAGAATGGACCCAGATGCAGCTCTACACTCTCCGGCCCAGTAGGGGAAAGGAGTACCACACACAACACATGAGCCTTTGTCTGGAGAGTGAGGTAATACACCTCATTCTTGGATGACTCCCCCTTTCAAGATCGAAAGAGTTTACAGGCTTCATCCGGCCTTCCTTTTCTGCCGTGCCTGCATACAAACTGGAATCAATATAACTACGTTGGCTCTATTTTATACGATTAGTTATTTTTGATGCAAGTCTGTGTGTGGACCCTAATGTCAGATTAAGAGTAATTTCTTTGGATGTAATTTCATTTGGTAAAAAAATCAATTTACATTACATCCAAATAGGATACTCTTAATCCAAAATGTGTGTCCACACAAAGATTTGCTCTGACATAATTAAAGGTGTGAAACTGATGTTATTTCAGTTCAAGGCTTACGTGGTTAGTATCACACAGAACTTCCAAGGAGTGGAAGAAGTAAAAAGGAGAGACTAGGGGATTACTGGAACTTCTTCCCTTATATAAAAGACACACTTCAAACTGAAAAGGGTTAGAGAAGGAAACAAAGGTGACAATGGATAAGATAACTGAAATAGGGGAAATTAGTTAAATCCAAAAGCAGCTGGGAGAACCCAAAGAAAAGAAAGGTAATTTTAGAAAGTGTACATCTTCCTTTCTGCTAATAAACAAAAGCCTTTAGCTAATTGGACTGCTAGGTGAAACAAAATCGCTCTGTAAAATTTTGAGATTTCCCTCATTTGAAAGAATTGCCTGGGGAAGTGAGCTGAAATCCTGCCATATATGAAACCGTAAGTATTCCTACAGCTGGCAGCATGCTGAAACACACCATCACTGGGGTGGCTAGTCTCATTCAACAAATATCACCACCAAGACACTTAATTTAAGAAATCATTGTACTGGGTAACATCTGGAAAAAGAAATCTATGCCCAAATACCTAGGAGGAAGAAAAGTATGTGTAAAATTACACTGCTAACCAGTTTAAGTATATGTCCAATTGGAGTTTTTTAGCTCTAATTTCTGATGAAGACCGCAACATACCAACACAAATGCTTTGAATGTTTTATATAAAAATATGAGCATGTGTTAAAACAAATATGTTTACTAAGATTCAAGGTTCAGAAGATTATTTCTACTAAGCGCTAAGCCAAAACTGGTTCTTAGAACACCAGCTGCAAGGCTTCTGTAGCAGCTGTTTAAAAGTTGCCTTTTAGTAATTCCTGAAATTGCTAAAGCAAAACTAAAAAAACCACAATCTCATTTCAGTAGCAAAACTTGACATTCAGCATCAAGTTTATGAGCTTTCTACAACCTGAATGTATCTACTGATAGATGTGTCTACGCATAAAATGTATCTTCACAATCTGAGGACTTCTTGCAAATCCCTTACGCCTTTGAGTAGTTCTTAACTCACACAAACAACAATCCTTTGCACTTGCAATTGAAATCTGTGGGACTAATCATCTTAGTAATGACAACTAGAGACAGCAAAGATTTCCAGGGTTGGGCCCTTCATTCGAAAGGCACCAATAGCAGTTTTGTTGTTAGTTGAACTTTCCTATTGGGTACAAAATAAAATGTCCAGGGAACTAAACAGTTCAGGGGATCTGAATTGGGATATGAAGTTTTCCACATCTGGGTTTTTGGTTCAAATCCAACCCATGTTTGTAGTGGGTGAAAATACTGCCATATAACAATTCTTCAGAGGTCTATGGGAAATGTTGGCACCTTCAGTCCAGCTCTTATGGGACAGATACACCTCTACCCCAATATAAGGCGGTCGTGGGGAGCCAAAAATCCGTACTGCGTTATAGGTGAAACCCCATTATATCGGGGTAGCGGCGACAGGGCTCCAGCAGTGATTTAAAGAGCCCCGGGCCCTTTAAATCGCCACCCAAGCCCCGCTGCCGGAGCCCCGGGGTAGCGGCGGCAGGGCTCCAGCGGTGATTTATAGGGCCCGGGGCTCCCCGCAGCAGCTGGAGCCCCAGGCCCTTTAAATCACCGCCCGAGCCCCGCTGCCAGAGCCCCGGGGGTAGCAGCAGCAAGGCTCCAGCGGTGATTTAAAGGGCCCAGGGCTCCCCGCAGCAGCCGGAGCCCAGGGCCCTTTAAAGCGCCGCCCAAGCCCCGCTGCCGAAGCCCTGGGGTTACCGTGCTATATGTTAACCCATGTTATATTGGGTCGCGCTATATCGGGGTAGAGGTGTATTTACACATCATCAAGACTGAGCTTTTTGTTGACAGTTTCAGATGTTAGACCTAAGACTGAAAGGACAAAGACTGAACTACCCTCTCATTCTTAGAAGAGATCCTTCCAGAACAAGGTTGACGCACACTGGTGAGCAGTTTAGAGAACCCTGCACTGCTACTACTGGTTATATTCTTGCTCTGTGAATGATTTCATTCCTAAAGCTGATAACACATTTCACCAACAGTAAATTTACATTTGAAAATTTATCATTCAATTTCTACAAATGATTTTAAAAAATAATGAATGTACAAAATAGAAATTTTGTTTTAGAGTTTTGTACAAGAGGACCTCTTGGCAAAAAATGCTTTACATATAGCAGGGCCAAATGCAGAATGATCTATCACATTAGAAAGGCTTATAAAGAAATTAAGTGTTAGAGAAGCATTTTTGAGCACTGTATTATAATGCAGCAAAATACACTGCTTTCTGGTGAATAAGCAGCATTACAAGCAATCCCTCTCAACACCATTTGTGTGTGAACTTGTACAAGAGTATATAGTAATATTTTTAAAATGAGTCTTTCCCAGTCAAGGAAGCTTTCTAAATGTCATTTCTATTTGATCTTGAAGATGCAGCTACCAAACACTGCTCAAATTATTTACAGTATTTCTCATGTTATGAATCACTAGTTCTGTTCCAAAAAGTATTTTCTTCAAACTCTGTTTGTAAGCACTGTGAAATGAGTAACCAGAACAGGTTTATAAGTTTAGCTCTATTTAAAAAATGAACAGTTGGTCTGAAGCACAAAGCTGTTCCAGAACCATCCACACAATGATTACTCTAAACTGTGAGCTACTCCAATATCAGTTTCCTAGAATGACCGACAAGATACGCATGAACATTCTACTTTTTATCAAGTAAGCAGCAGCTACACCAATCAAGTTTCACACAGTTATCAGAAAGTTTGTCAAAGGAATGGAAAAACAGCCTTTAGAAAAGAGCAGGTCAAGCTAGTCTGGAACAGTGTGCTTCTCAAACTGTAAACACTGATTATCTCTCAGGGTAGCAACTGATAGCAGTTCCATGGCTAAATATTGCTGAAATGTACCACATTGGCTTTGCTTTCTCACAAAATACAAGATACCGTTTTCGAGGCTCATCCTCTGGGCGTTGGAAGCGCCTTTCCTCAACTGTACATTGTGTGCCTTAAAGTATTGAAAAAATTATTCATCCCACTAATGAGCTTTATTGTTAGAAGATATTCTCTTCCCCACCATCCTCCTCCGAGGCTCTTCCATGCTCAGAGGATGCTAATTTTTACCTCATCTTCCCTGAATTTTGCCCACAGCCAACCAACCCCTACCAGCCACAGGCAAGCTGCATGTGGCTCCCTCTGAAATTGGCTCATTGTGTTCCAGAACGAAGCAGAGGAGCTGCTCAAGGACTAAGTGTTTTCAGACCTTCTTTGCCCCGGAATGAGTGACTGCACTGGAGTCCCACGGTTAAGCACTCTACATACCATTCTGAGCTACAACTAGACCATCAAACCAGCAGAATTTTCTCTATGCTGGAAAAAAACCTGTGATTTATTTAAAAAGCTAAAGATCTGGGATCTACTGGGCTTAACCTGGTGGATGACAAGTAATAAATGTTAGACTACCATATTGGTGATTCTGGTGAAAATATTAAAATGCATTGGCTAGCAGGAGCTAGAAGTGTCAAAGTTGCAGCTCATAAATATGGCTGCTTAATGATTATGGCCAAAACTTTTTTTGGTTTTAAATTACCTTCTTAACATAGCACCTTATCTGTACAAAGCAAACTATAAGATCTTGATTCAGGGACAGGTCCTCTGGTGCTGATACTAAAGAGTCAGGTAGTTCAGGCTGAAAATTTAGCTTTATTAAAGTTATTACAAAATCTAATATTAATAGAAATGTTTCATAACTTGAAAAAATTAGAATGAATGGTTTGTTTCATTTTAACCATTCCCTTGCACTGTCTCCAACTCAACAGTGGCATTCTGAAAACCAGAAACAGTCTATTTTGGCTGAACAAGATGAATGAAATGCAAAAGGTAAACAAGGTGGTAGAAGAAGAGTGAAAAGTTTCAAAAATTACTCCTAGTTATTTATTTAAG